TTCCTGACTGGAACGCTGTACATTGCAGGACTAGACACCCTTATCCACATGGAATCTTTCAAGGTGACAAAATCAAATTGGACAAAAATTAAGGCTAAAGTAGAAAGGAGGAGAAGAAGAAAAAAAAAAAATCTTAGGACTCCCATGCAAGGAACACGGCAGGTACTCAAATATTGAAATACATTATTTAATATGTTAATCGGAAAAACTAGGATCCACACACCATATTTAACAGAGACTTTTTTAAAGAGATCATTGTGGCTTGCTATAATACAGTTAAAACCCACTTTCTTTCTAAACTTTCTAAAACAATGTGTGAACCCATACCAAAACAGAACTCCAAAACTGAATAGCCTATAGTGATGGTCATGCTGAAGTCTGATATGGGTCAGGGAGACAGAATCTAGTCAAGCAAACATAACAAACTGGCATTTTCATTTACTGAAGTACTTTAGGTAGCCATAAATTACATACCTGGAGAGGAATAAGCATATGCATGCAAAAACAAACATTAAAAAAGCATTCATAATGCATCATCTGTTCCCAAGACAGTACAGCTGCCGTGCTTTTAGTAGAACCACAAATTCTGCATGAACTTTGAACATGTTATACTTCCACCACTGCAGAAAGTAAATAAAACTAACCCCATAGTCAAGACCACTACCACTTTGGAGGAACAGAGACCAAAACGAGGGGTGGAGGTAGTAATGAGTCACTTAAAGTTAAGTGTAGGAGGTTTTACTAGCAAAGAAAACAAAAACATAAATTATATTTTTTTATTTATACACGGCTGAAATCCTGCATTAGCATTTCCCACTGGAGATGGAACATCTCAGATTTAGATTTCACACCACCTCCCCATATGCAAATATGCAAGTAATGAATGACACAGAAAACTTTTTCTCCTGCTACTATTCCTATCATAGAAGCTGTAGCTAGTGCCTATGTAACTCGAAAGCAAACACTGCCTGCCCCCTTGCCAGAAGACATGTCCTTCCTTTACTATATGCATTGAGGGATTAAGAGATATAGAAACATGACTGTATATAGAAACAAACACTGCAGCATAGGTGTCCACACTTAGACTGCATCCCCTGTAATGTCAGACATTCTGTGCTTAAATTTCTTTCACTGACCTGAAACCTAAGGGTTTGGGGTTTTTTTTTGCCTCGAAGTTCAATCTTTGCAGACTATGTTAACTACTTTAGTAGCAATTACTGCCCTTTCCCAATTAGTTATCATTCTAACCCTACCATTAAAGTGAAACATGGAGGAGTCCTTTGTTTCACTTAAAAAAAGAAACAGCAAAAAACAAAGAAAACCCCAGTGGATTAGTTTAAACTATCTAAAGGAACGGTATAGAAAAGACAGACTCTTCTTTGAGGTGCACAGCAACATGATGAGAGGCAGTGAACATATGTTACAACATAGGAATCTTCAGACTAGACATTAGGAAAAAAATTCGCAGTGAGGGTAGTCAAACACTGGAGTAGGATGCTCACATATGTTGTGGAACTCATCAACCATGAAAATACTCAAAACTCAGCTGGACAAGGCCTCTAAACAACCTCTTTATCAAATTTACTTTGAGAAGGAGGTTGGAATAGATGATGTCCAAAGGTCCCTTCAAACCCACATTAGTTTGCAATCCTATGAAACTCTTGCGAAGCAATCTGGTCATGCAGTTTGCACAATTATCATCAGCAGCAGAGCTGTACAGACTGTCATGACAGCTCCTTTTGTTGGGAGCTGACAGAACAGATTTCCATCCATATCTCCAACACAGTCAGTTATGTGCCCGCTGGATGAGTACACCATACTTCTACACTGCGCCGGTCTGAATGCAGTGGTCTGAATGCAGTGGTCTGAGCAGAAACAGTGCTGATGTATCCCTGGTGTTTACTTCAGAGAGGTGACTCTGCTATTGAAAAGCTTAGCGTCCCTTCACGCTCTCAGTTGAATCTGTGTCACAGAATGGAGTAATTTGATAATCCACAACAGAGAGTATCAGATTCCATAACTGCTAGAGATTCTGGTATCTACTAAGCCTGCAAATAAAATTGACAATTAATAGATTTGTGCTAGACTGCATTGCCCTTATCAAAGGCAAAGGTGTAGACACATCTCCCTGACAAGACTTAGAACATATACTCACCTGGGAAGAGAAAAAGTAATATAAAATGGGTTTTTACAAAAATTTAAGAGTTGAATATTGACATCAATAAAGAACTACTGAAGAGTTTGGAAGAGTTAAAATGAAGGCTCTAGAAACGCATTCCAATATATTTTTAGAAGACCAAGTTTACACGAATATGAAGAAAGCCTTGTCACATCCATCTGAAATAAGGACACGTTAATAATGCCTATTCGTCGACAAATAATAATAGAAAAGGAATAGTGTATCACCTATCACAAACTGGCTATCAGTTTGTAAGAACACTTGTGCAAATACTTCATGGAAGAAAGGACTAAAAGTTTGGAACCAGTCACGCACCTTTGTGAATCAGATTTTGTTGAGCACATTGTGGGCAGGAGACAGAGATCCTGTTAATCTACAAGAGACTGCCAAATTGCCTGACAAAGGTACAGCAAAATATGTTTGAGAGGGAAATCAAAAAGCTGAGACATATTAATGGAAACGAATTTCAAATGTTTCCCAGAGCAAGCTTGAACTTCCAGAGAAAGTCATTCAGCCTAAGGCTACGAAGATCCAATCCCAACCAGAACATTTAACATCAACCCAAGGAATCACATCATCCTCCAAGAGTAGGCAAAGAAAACAAAACCTAACAAAGCCTGACTCACAGTAAGCTTCTAGGATGTTCCTAGAAGTTCATAGCTTAGGTAACCAACTATGTAGTCTGGTTCCCATTAGACAAGAAAGAAAAATAACAAAGAACATTACCAATTTTTTTTAACCAGTGATGGGACAAGTGAACAAAAAAAAAAAAAAAACACAAATTGCGAGGAAACAAAAGGCAGTCTTGAGCAAAGTCTTCAGCAAACTCCTACTCAAAAAAAAAAAACAAACCAAACCAACAACAAAAAAAAAACCCCCACCAAAACACACAGATGCACTCATCAGGAGAAACCCAGACCCTGAAAAGTTATTCCTGTCAGGCACACATGCTTAACAGAGCCTACCGCGTACGTAGTAATTATGGTCAGAAGAACAACGGGCTCACACTGAATTAAGACACAGCTTTAATATCACATAAGCTAGTTGCTCCCTTGTCTTACAAAGAGTTCCTGAAATGCATCACCTGTAAAGGAAAAGGACAAAAACTTAACAGCAAATCCACTGCAAGAATAGACATTTGTTTATGCAATGCAAAGGACATGCAAAAATCTAGAATACAAGTGTGACAAAATAAGAAACGACAATCACTGTGTGAGAACGCAGGGAAGGCTAACTGGAGACTGGGCATCATGTCCACGCCTATGTTAGAGAAAAAATTAGCCAAAATGTAAGAACAGTTGCTTTTTTGTGTTCTGGTATACTACTCATATATATATGTTCATATAACTAACTTGCTTAGCATTAGTGGCTAACTCCACTGAAGCCTTAGGCCCTATGAAGTTCTCCTCCACGTCTTTTGAAATACCAGCCAAATACACAAAATTACTTTCTTAAATAGACTGTTACTTTATAGGGCATTAATGAGCAAAGAAAAAACACTTTAACACATATTTTGTCTTGCTGATGCATTGCACTGGCTTGGTATCTGCAAACAAGAAAAGATACATTGACCCCAACATTTGAAAATTTGCATTGAGTGTAATATAATCAAAAGAGTTTCAGCAGCCCACATATCATCCGAAATTCATACAATCAACATGTACTAACAAATAGTGAACTTGCAATACAGTATGTAAAGGGGACAGTATTTGGCTTGCAGTTCCCAAATCTGAGTTTAAAGCTATCTGACCATCTGCTTATGCTCAAAACCAGAAACTGTATACTGCTACTTGTGAGAGCGGGAGCAGAGAAGGGAATGGGGAGAGGGCTGGCTTTGCTGATGTCTCGTTCTAGAGGCAAAATACAAAGCATTTTCCACCCCTCTAGAGAAGCCCTAGGCTGATAATGTCATGAATATTACTTCTGCCTTCTGGCACAATTTCAATTTTCAAGTAGGCACACTTTGATCTTTACTTTGGTAGGACAGCCTTGTTTCCCCACCACAGTAGAAGACCCTCTAACACTGACTGTAAAAATCCACAGTGACTATCAGTGAATATCCTCGCAGCACACAAGCCCAGGTGACCTTTAGTGCTCTCAGACAGCTGCCTTCTCCAAGTCTTTCACAGCAAAAGAATTCCCACTACTAACTTATTTAGTGCACTGACCCTGTTCCAAAGACTGACAGACTCTGTGAACCCTCACAGCAACAAAACAACCCTCATTCAAAACTTCGCACAGCACAATCACCCTTAGAAATCTCGCTTTCACAGTGTCGATCTTCATTTATTATGAACCATAGTGGTAACAATCATCTTTTAATAGTTCCTTCAAGTTCACATAACTGTGTTTTCATTTTGTCATTAGCCTGCACCATACCTAACATTGTCAAGATCCTGCTAATGGCTTGAAGGTCTTAATAGTTTCTACCTGACCCACTTGATGTATTATGAAGATCTTCAGAGAATTAGTTAAGGGAGTTTTGCCATTTAGCTATTTTTCCCCCCTAGCAGAACTTTAAACCTAACAATATGTTAGACTGAAGTTCCACAAGAAGTCCTCCCAACAGAAATGCTGACCTCAAGAAGGGTCCCGAAGAGAGAGGCAGCCAGGAAAAAAAGAATAGACACTTAGCCTGGATTAAAAAATACAGGATTGGCACTCATGAGGCAAGTAATCTTAAAAAAGAAGGAGGACTGAGACAAAACCTAGGAATTTCACAAAGACATTATCATGTAGTTTCTTGATTCTATTTTCAAAAATAAATCCTCCAAAGACATCTCTAAAGCTATATCAAAATCATTATCAATGTTCTGTTTGGACCATTCTTTCTCATCCCACAAGGGATCACAAAAGCTCTCCCGGGGAAGAGAACTTCACTGCCAGCAGGAGCTACAGGCTCCGCACCTGGTCTGCTCCCATACAGGCAGCACAGGTGACACAGCTCTTCCTAAAAAGTCCCCTTTCCCCTCCTCCCTCTAATAAATCTACACCTGCCTTCTACTCCATCAAAGGTAGCTCAACTGAGCTATTCTCAACACATACTGACATTACACATATACACACATTGCACGAGACCTGTGACCAATCTATTTCAGTAGGTATTTTGCACTACTTTAAGATTCTGATAATAAGAAGTTACATACAGCTTTAGGGAAATTAAGTTTCACCTTTCTTGTAAACAGGCAAGAAACTCCTAAAAATCAACAGTCTCTGTTCAGATTCACAAAACCTGTTAACGCCTAACTGACAATACCACAGGCCAAGTATTGCTTACTCAAGAAGCACAACAGGACCACAATGCAGTACACAAACTCTGACAAAGCAGCAGAGCCCTTTTTTTAAGCCTGCTACAGCCAGGTTCCCTCTCAGGGTGCAGCTGGAGTTGCCCTCGTGTAGTATGGCCCTGCAGTCAGCCAGGAAGCTTTCTACTGTCCTTCGCTCCTGCTCGTTCTGCTTCTCCCTCGCGAGTCTGTGTACTTTTGACATGTAACACGCAGTAGGAGTATCTGGCATGCTGAAATTCAGCTCAGGATTGCGGTATCCCCAAAATCCATTAAACGTGCCAAACACATGCTCCATAATTATCACTCTCTGGCACATGCAGTGCTCCTCCTCCCTGCCTCCCTCCATGATGCTGGCTAGCCTCTGCACGCTACCGAACAAGTCAGACATAGGCTGTCCCCCCAAGAATCACAGGTGGCATTGCAACCAAGCCAAATACCTATCCTGGAAAGAACCCCTCCACACAGCTGTTTTCCAGGGGTATAAGCACCATCCAGTCAACCTTAAACTAAGGCAAATACAGCATTTAGAGACATCCAGCAGTGCTTACACACCTACTCAAAACATTGCTGCTTAAACATTCCAAGAGCAGGATGGGGAAAATCATGAATCCTTGACGATGAAGCCTATCCAACACAGGGTAAACATACTGAGTACTCCAGGTTAGATAGTAAACATAGGTCAAGTCTACCCTGGACAAGCAGTGTATAATTTCGCTGACAAAAACCAGCACTTAGCAATACCCTTGAGACCCCTTTTATCACATCCTCATAACTCAGGATATTGATGAAGTCTACCAGAGTTCCTTTTAGAGGAACAACCTTTCCATATTGCAATGTTCTGCAGCTACTGCTGTTGCCCCATATTCACCATCATGATCCACAGTCACATCACTCAGTCCTCAATTCAAGCAGCATCTCAAGTTTTCACTCGCCATCCACTCCTCTAATTTTCTCATTTTCACTAGTTGGATAATCAGAGCAACTATGGTGGGATATTGGCTTTAAAAAATAGTCACAAAAAGCATCACACATCCTAAAACACACTTATTTTGTATGTCTGTATAAAGTTCATACAGCTCACAAACACACTGAAGAGACAAAAAGCCCACTCTGGGAAATGACATTTTTTGGGGTTATATAACTGTTATAAACAGCACAAAAAGAAAGACTTGCAGCTGTAAATTAGGGGGAACTAATTAGGTCAAAAAATTAACTAATCATGCAGAAAATTGAATTCATCACTAGTTTTAATCTTGTTTTGCTGTTAGATGTTTAGCTTTCCCCCTTCCACCCCAGACACTAAAAACCCAAAACTATTTCTTACTGTCATTTGGTAAAACTTGTTGCACAGTAGTCACACATGCTAAGCAATTATACACAGTTGTACAATGGCTCCAGATTTGTATCTTTAATTTCCATTCTCATGTGTCAGAACTGTGAGTGATATGGTTCTAAGTAAGACCTTCCTGTTCCACTATGCCTTGTTTGATGAAAACTGGATTAAAAAAAAAGAGAAATAAATATTTCTTCATAATTCTAATTACTGTACCTATGCAAATACAACAAAACACATCTTGCATATAAAAAATGAACATATATTGTGCAGAAACAATTTTGATTTAGTTGGTGGACAGCACCCTAAGAGGAATCAGCCTTATTTTCTTATAAACCCGGCCACGTTGGATCAGATGAAAGGCATATCTGCACAACTACATTTTTTCTGGAAGGGGCCAAAGACAGATTCTTACCGATCGCTAGAGCCACAAGTAGCTTCTCAGTCTGCAATCCCTTATATAGCTTCTAGATGTCATGGTTTTATGACTTATAATTTTTATTTGAAAAAACAGTAAGAAGATACCTCCCTCTTTTTAATACTTCATCATTTAAAATCTCAACGTTGAATAAGCTTGTCATAGAGCTGAATTAAATCACAGAATCACAGAACAGTAAGAGTTGGAAGCGACCTTAAAGATCACATGGTTCCAAACCCCCTGCCATGGGCAGGGACATCTTCCACTAGACCAGGGGGCTCAGAGCTCCATCCAACCTGGCCTTGAACACTTCCAGGGAGGGGGCAGCCACAGCTTCTCTGGGCAACCTGTGCCAGTGCCTCACCACCCTCATGGTGAAGAATTTCTTCCTAATATCTGATCTAAATCTGCCCTCTTGTAGTTTACAGCCATTCCCTCTTGTCCTATCACTACACACCCTTGTGAAAAGTCCCTCTCCATCCTTCCTCTAGGCCCCTTCAGGTACTGGAAGGCTGATCTAAGGTCACCCTGGAGCCTTCTCTTCTCCAGGCTGAACAGCCCCAACTCCCTCAGCCTGTCCTCACAGGAGAGGTACTCCAGGCCTCTGATCACCTTTGTGGCCCTCCTTTGGACACGCTCCAACACATCCATGTTCTTCCTATGTTATGGGCTTCAGAGCTGGAAGCATGACTCCAGGTGGGGTCTCAAGAGAGCAGAGTAGAGGGGCAGAATCCCCTCCCTCGACCTGCTGGCCACACTTCTCTTGATGCAACCCAGGATACGGTTGGCTTTCTGGGCTGCAAGCGCACATTGCTGGCTCATGTTGAGCTTCTCCTCCACCAGTACCCCCAAGTCCTTCTCCTCAGGGCTGCTCTCGAGCCACTCTCCGCCCAGCCTGTACTTGTGCTTGGGATTGCCCTGACCCATATGCAGGACCTTGCACTTGGCCTTGTTGAATTTCACGCAGTTCACGCAGGCCCATCTCTCCAGCCTGTCAAGGTCCCTCTGAATGGCATCCCTTCCCTCCAGTGCGTCAACCACACCACACAGCTTGGTGTCGTCGGCAAACTTGCTGAGGGTGCACTCAGTCCCACTGTCCATGTCGCCAACAAACATATTAAACAGCACCGGCCCCAGTACCAGCCCCTGAGGCACACCACTCGTCACCAGTCTCCACCCGGACATCGAGCCATTGACTGCAACTCTGAGTGCGTCAATCGAGCCAGTTCCTTATCCAACGAGTGGTCCATCTGTCAAATCCATGTCCTTCCAATTTAGAGACAAGGACATCATGCAGGACAGAGTAAAATGCTTTGCACAAGCCCAGGTAGATGATGTCAGTTGCCCGTCCTTTGTCCACCAAAGCTGTAACCCCATCATAGAAGGACACCAAGTTGGTCAGGCACGATTTGCCCTTGGTGAAGCCATGCTGGCTGTCCCCAATCTCCTCCTTGTTATCCATGTGCCTTAGCATCGTTTCGAGGAGGATCTGCTCCATCATCTTGCCACGCATAGAGGTGAGGCTGACTGGCCTGTAGTTCCCCGCATCTTTCCTTTTTTCCCCCCTTTTTAAAAATGAGGGTGATGTTGCCCCTTCTCCAGTCAGTGGGGACCTCCCCAGACTGCCAAGACCTCTCAAATATGATGGAGAGTGGTTTGGCAACTTCGTCCACCAGTTGCCTCAGGACCCGCGGGGTGCATCTCATCAGGCCCCATGGACTTGTGCACCTTCAGGTTCCTTAGGCGGTCTCAAACCTGGTCTTCTCCTACAGTGGGTGGTTCTTTATTCTCCCAGTCCCCGCCTTTGCCTTCTGCAAGTTAGAGCACTTGCTGTTGAAGACTGAGGCAAAAAAGTCATTCAGCACCTCAGCTTTCTCCACATTCCGGGTAGCCAGGTCTCCAGCTTCCTTCCAGAGAGGACCCACATTTTCCCTAGTCTTGCTTCTATCACTGACTGAAAATACTGAAAATAAAAAACCAAAACACACACCAAAAAACCCCACCACACTAAAACAAACCCGAACATATGGAACTACAACACCATTCTTTAAACTGGGATGAGAAATCAATCTGAAGAAATGCTTTTAGTCACAGTGCTTCTGAAAGACACTGGAAAGAAGCTGCAGTTGTGATGATGCAGCTAGCCATTGTTATCTAGCAACACAGAAGAAAACTGGTTTAAAAAGAATAATAATCTTTCTTCTTGTACCTGGAGATGCAAGTTAGAAAAACCATATTAGTTTTAGGTTTAACTCTCTCCATCAGAGCCTTTTTCAGAAAGCACAGAGATGCATTCTGTTCTAAAACCATGCTGGCAGTTAACGGAGATCAGAAACAGTACCATCTCTACACTGTTTTTAAAACTTAGTCACAAACCATCTTCTCCTTCTGCATCTTCTCTCTAAATGATCTGTATTCACTGCAGTTCTCTTCCATTACAGCCACTCTGTCAGCCCTTTTGCTTTACTCTCCCACCAAAACATCTTGTTACACACTTTGCAGAAGAACAGAAGAGGTCCATAAGAGATGTATGATTTGGGGAGGTGGGGGGCACACGTACACGGGGATCCCAGACAACACACATGCTAGCTTTCCAAAATTTCTGGAGGATTTTTTATATATGACCTCCTAGAAAGAAGCTGTGAACTTTATTAAGTACATGATATATATTCTATTCTGCAAAAGAAACTTAAGTATAAATTATATTAATTTTGAAGTACGATTTATAGCTATCTGTAGCCAATCACAAAGTAATACCATCTTATCATACTTCAGCAGATTTAACATTTAGCATAGGTGAGAATTACACACTAGCTCCTGTACAAGAGGAAAGCCAAACAAATACACAATTTGCTAAGGAGATCTATTGGTATAGTCAGGATTACAGAGCACGCCACTCTGTAGCGATGACCCCCAAACTTGTTATAGAGAACCTTTATACACTACTCTCCACAAGCAGTTCGGTAAACGTGCCTAAACAAAAAAGTGCACGTATACACATTTCAGTTACTACAGCCACTGAAAAGCAA